CCGGGACGAATGGTCTGGGGTAGTGTAGATTTCAAACTGAATATTAATGGGTAATAAGATATTACTAGCCTTGTACCCTGGCATTAGTTGAGAGAGGTATCTAAGTAATCATATGAGTTAGTGTGTTTATGATTGTGAACGCCACGTGATCATTCATGGGTCAGCAGCTTGTAAACGCGTGAGACCTAAAGCCACCCGTGGGAGGGGGGGGGGTGGTGTTAATACTGTTTTCAATTACTGTACACATGTAAATATTCGTTTAGGGACGGCGAATGTTGAATGCATGTTTTAATTATTCATGGGGGCTATAAGCCGATTAGATTGTTTTCATCCAGGTTTACTCATGCAAGAAAGTCCTAATGTAATACTTTTAACTGAATCCTCTATAATTAAGCGTCTGGTTTCCATGGACATTCACAGTTTTTAGACAATAAATATCAAGCGCATTCTGTCTGGCTGCCAAATATTTGTTCGTACATGCCCTGAAGGCCGCATGAGTGAGAATTGTTTACTTAATATTGCTCTCAAACTCTGTTTATTCTTTCTCACTTCTTCTGGATCACCTTCCAGTCTTTCTTCATGACACTAATGTTCATTGTCCTCTCATCCTTAAATTTTTGATCGCCATTACTCGTTCTTTACGTTACTTTGGTAAGTCTGGCTTTACATCATTGTTATGATTGATTTCACTGTCACTGACAACTTCATAATGTGCTGGAGTATTTTGAGTACCTGCATTTTTGATAATAACTTAAATAATTATCATTCAGAAAAGTTTTGTAACAATCAACATTAATGCCATTTTACACTCTATAATGTCACAGATTTTACTTATGTTGTGATGCCCTTAACACATTCTAATGCCTCCTCCATTATCATTAATAAACTCTTACCCAATTCTTAAAGGAAAAGTAAACCCAGTCCACACTCACGCAATGTATACGTCGCTATGAGTCCCATATCAAACAGGACGCGGCACGACGACTGTCGCCCTTTAAGATAATTTTTATTATTGTTACACATGAGAGAGCTTCGTGAACAAACTTGTGTGAATTTAAGTTAGATGGAGAGTTTCCATGGAGGTGATTAGTTGTATATCAGAATGACAAGTGTCGCCATTAGCACATTCAAAATATCTGCAAGTCTGCATATTGGAAAAATAATCTGCAGGAAACTGATAGAAATTTGCATCTTCTTAACTTAATCTTAAAAAGAGCATCTTTGTAGAACTATGTAGCTGCATTCCAATCTCCTTCCATAGGTACTCACGCTTTATGCAAATGATAAGTAATGCATATCAAACTGTTTGAAGTTCAGCCACAATCAACATCACACTTTCTCCACAATTCGTTGCCACATATCCCCATACTTGTATAGGATTTAGTTTATAAAACACTCATAATTAATACCGTTTATTTTTATTTAATTTTATACCGTTTAATTCATACTGTTAATTATGCACAATCTTTTGATGATATTTTATTGTGAAAGTGAACATCAATAGTGTAACACAATCACAGATTTAAATTAATTTTGGTTTGTAAAATCTGCATTAGAAGGTGCAGCTTCTGATAAAAATGGTACAATGCAAACAGTTGGGATGTGGCTTCTATTAGAGCATCTACGCATGAACTTTTGGTTTTCAATTGTTCAAAAAGAATGGGTGCAATTTCTATTAGTATTACAGCTTAAATACAGATTTTACATAGTTGCTTTGTATTCATGAAATTGTATTTTACCTATGTGATTTTTGTTTAATGGTAGGGTATGCTGAAATATAGGCTAAAAATGAAAAAGTGCCACCATACTGCATAACTTGTGTGTTATTTAATTATAATTTATTTGTATTTCTAGGTATTCAAACTACTCGTTAATCGTGGGCCGAATGACAACTGGTTTGTTTTCAGAAGATATACAGATTTTGTTAGAATCAATGAACAGGTATGTAAAAATTGACCCCGTCTGACCACTGAAGGTCCTACTAATCAAGTATGTAAAAAAATTGACCCTATCTGACCCCTGAAGGTCCTACTAATCAGGTACCTATGTAAAAAATTACCTTATCTGACCACTGAAGGTCCTACTAATCAAGTATGTAAAAAATTGACCCTATCTGACCCCTGAAGGTCCTACTAATCAGGTACCTATGTAAAAAATTACCTTATCTGACCACTGAAGGTCCTACTAATCAAGTATGTAAAAAAATGACCCTATCTGACCCCTGAAGGTCCTACTAATCAGGTATGTAAAAAATTACCCTATCTGACCACTGAAGGTCCTACTAATCAGGTATGTAAAAAATTGACCCTATCTGACCCCTGAAGGTCCTAGTAATCAAGTATGTAAAAATTAACCCTGTCTGACCTCTGAAGTTCATACTAATCAAGTATGTAAAAACTGACCCTATCTGACCCCTGAAGGTCCTACTAATCAGGTACCTATGTAAAAAATTACCTTATCTGACCACTGAAGGTCCTACTAATCAAGTATGTAAAAAATTGACCCTATCTGACCCCTGAAGGTCCTACTAATCAGGTACCTATGTAAAAAATTACCTTATCTGACCACTGAAGGTCCTACTAATCAAGTATGTAAAAAAATGACCCTATCTGACCCCTGAAGGTCCTACTAATCAAGTATGTAAAAACTGATCCTATCTGACCCCTGACGGTCCTACTAATCAAGTATGTAAAAACTGATCCTATCTGACCCCTGACGGTCCTACTAATCAGGTATGTAAAAATTAACCCTGTCTGACCTCTGAAGGTCCTACTAATCAAGTATGTAAAAACTGATCCTATCTGACTCCTGACGGTAAAAATTGACCCTATCTGACCCCTGACGGTCCTACTAATCAAGTATGTAAAAACTGATCCTATCTGACCCCTGAAGGTCCTACTAATCAAGCATGTAAAAATTGACCCTATCTGACCCCTGAAGGTCCTACTAATCAGGTATGTAAAAATTGACCCTATCTGACCCCTGAAGGTCCTACTAATCAGGTATGTAAAAAATGACCCTATCTGACCCCTGAAGGTCATACTAATCAAGTATGTAAAAATTAACCCTATCTGACCCCTGAAGGTCCTACTAATCAGGTAAGTAAAAATTGACCCTATCTGACCCCTGAAAGTCCTACTAATCAGGTATGTAAAAATTGACCCTATCTGACCTTTAAAGTTCATACTAATCAAGTATGTAAAAACTGACCCTGTCTGACCCCTGAAGGTCCTACTAATCAGGTAAGTAAAAATTGACCCTTTCTGACCCCTGAAGGTCCTACTAATCAGGTATATAAAAATTGACCCTATCTGACCCCCGAAGTCTTACTAATCAAGTATGTAGAAACTGACCCCATTTGACCTCTGAAGGTCATATACTAATCAGGTATAACAAAATTGACCCTGTTTGACTCCTGGAGGTCATACTAATCAGATATGTAACTAACTGCAGAGCTATCTCTCCACTCATTTTCAAAAGTTATGGCCTGGTATGGCTGGTGTTACCAGTTAAATATTAACATACTTTCCTTGTCAATTTAGTTAAAGGTCTTGTTTCCAACATTTCGACTGGCACTCCCTCCGAAGAAATGGTTTGGCAACAATTTTGATACAAGTTTCTTAGAAGACCGACAACTGGGTTTGCAGGCCTTCATCAATAATATCACAGGACACAAAGACATCGTCAAAAGGTAAGCTACCGTTAGTGAAGTGAAGGGAACCTGAGAAAAGAACCAATTATATACAGTGAGGTAGTTAATGGAGGACAGAATCTTGTTAGATGTAGTGTGGCAGTTATTTTGTTTTCACTTTTCTATCATGTGGTTTTTGGCATGCTTTTTCCCCGAGTAAGCCAAGTGACAACCCACTTTCAGTATTCCAGCTAGTTAAACCATAATTCATGAAAAAACATGTGTAATCAGTACACTAATATAGTATAATGTATCTACTCAGCTCTATTTAGAAGAGAATCTTGAATAAAAGCGTGTACGTAAACAAATTGTCTACTAGTTCACATTAAAACATGACTCAACCACAGACGCAAGTTTGTCACTTTATAATAAAGGCAGAATTCTGGGAATCACATTGTTGACTTTTTACACAATAGCTTTCTAGTGATGTCACCAACCTTTCATCTATAAACAGATTAAAATTCACGAGGTTGTTTAATTTTGATTTATGGACACTATAGATTATTACATAATTGGACAGTAAAATTGATAAATTTTTACAAAAATCTTTCTGTCTCAATAAATTTAAATATCCATTACTACATTCGTGTTACGAAATCTTGACACGTTCCAAAATTTGTAATCGTGTGTGCAGAGGGATTACAGCAGTTGCATTTACATTATCGGTATCCACATAGTACCCAAACGGTCTATGCCGAAAACGCACCTTCATTCGTCAATGGCAGACAATCCAAATAGATGGTACAATTTAATAATAATTACTTTATTGAAATCATATCCATTTGCTGTATATTTTTAGCGTACATTTCAGTGAGTGATATGAAGTAAAAACAGCATACCCAACTACTGTGGAATACTTTATTTTCGCTGGAATTAATCATCCCTTCAGCGAAAATAAATTCCAAGCGAAAATAAAGTATTCTACAGTATTGAACAAAAATCACACAGGGAAAATACAAGTTCAAGAATACAAAGCAACTACGTAAAGTCTGCATATGATTTTGGTTTCGTGTCAAGCATTTAGGCAGCAAATCATGATATGTGCCAAGTTTCGGTCCAAATTTTTTATTGCCGAGTTTTGTCTGCACATGCCGACTTGGTTCTGACTGTTATTTCACATACTCAGTGAGTTGCAATGAGAGATGCATTGAAGACGTCCCATGTTTGTTTGAATGCTATGCAGCAATGAACGCGCCAATTTCTTGCAAAATTCCAATAATATTATCTTTATTTTTTTTAATAATTTGTATTAGTACTTGCACCAGGTTTCCCTGTTTTGATCAGTTGATCATATAACCACAATTACTATGAACAGCCAAGACCTTGCTTCAGGCAATCCATAATGATAGGAAGCTATCCATAATGTTAGGAAGATGATCACCAACCTGGAGTATGCTTTCTGTGTCATACTCTATGCCAGCACTGACAAAAAGTCAGAAGAGAAAACTGTGACATTCAATGTCTGTAACTGTTGCGTTGCACAAAAATATTCATAAAAAATGTCTAGTTCTCAAGTTTGGCAAGTTTTATCTGATAATCTCCAAACCTGCTGAACATGTGAGTTACACAATTCAGTTTGTTTTACAGTCTGCTTGTCTGATCACCAACAGGTTTATTGGATCAATTTGATGGCCACAACAAAACATGTATTTATGATCATGTAATGAAGATGGATGTGAGATAGGTTTAACCTTTTCATGACCAGACTTCTTGCTCAAATTTTGTCTGCACTTTTTTCTTATATTCTTCAATATTTCTGAAATTGAACCATAAATTTGGAGCCAACAGAAAACATTTTCAGTTTTTATTTTAAAAAATTGGCTATTTTTGTCCCAATCTTCTGAAGGAAAGTGCAGACTATAAACGGGACTATTTTGTGAATTTATGATGAAAAGAGGGAACCAGTGGTGAAAGGGTTTAAAGCATTTGAATCTGTGTGAGTTAATATCACTGAAAGTGAAAACAACAATATCATTCATAGTCAGATCATGTGTTATTTCATGGTAAATAGAGGACAATAGACAGCGTCACACTGGGGGTCATTCATAGGACAGCGGTTACATTGCACTCATAGATATGTCAGACGTATATACTGTGAAATTTATTTTCGCTGGAATTAATTTTCGCTGAAAAGGCTTTTTGGCCGTTTTGCTTGGAATTTATTTTCACTGATTTTTGATGAGTTTAATGTGAAATATAAGAAAACAAATATATTTGCTGGATTTTATTTTCACGGAATCATCCCTTCAGCGAAAATAGCGAAAATAAATTCCAAGCGAAAATAAAGTATTCTACAGTATTTCACAAAAAAATTTATTGGCTTAAATGAATGTGTATATTTCTAAATTGATAATCCTGAGTATATTGGTCCATGGAGTTTTGGAAACAATGATAGTTATTTTAAAATATATGTATTTTATTTGATTATTATGAAAAATGAATGTTTTCTTTAATAGAACATATTTCTAATAGGAGTACTAATAATGCAGAAATTACATTCATTAAAAACTGAATCATTAAAATGTTTTTGTTTTTTTTACCATAGACAATCTGTGATTTACAAGGGCATGCGATACTATTAGAGCAAATATAGTATATTTGTATGAATTAGTCGGCAATAACATTGTATGTTTGATATCTGGATACCATGTTGCTAAGTAGCAATGTATATGAACGTGGGTCCAAATATGGTGTTTATTTTATACTTAAAATTTGAACCCTCCCTCACCGTGGTCCATCTGCTCTTTTAACCTTTTCACCACCAGTTCCCTCTTTTCATCACAAATTTCACAAAATAATTCTGTTTATCGTCTTCACTATCCAACAGATTGGGACAAATATAGCCAAAACTTTTGAGTAAAAACTAAAAATTGTCTCAAATTTTGTTTTCTGTTTTGTTTCTTATTCCAGAAATATTAAAGAATATAAGAAAACAAGCCATGCATGGCACAGTCCCCGTTAGTTATTTAAAGTTAGTTTTTTAAAGTAATATACTACAAGTACTAGTCCATATTGAGAGATATTGCTCTGGAACAGCATTAATTAAAACAAAATGGCCACCATTCAGCCTATTTAAATCGGATCGCCAAACTAATATATCTGTATATCTATGCGATGATGTATAATGAATATTTTAAATTTGAACATAATCAGTCAAAGCATGTCAGAGATATGGCACTAGAACCACATTCATTAAAACAAAATGGCCACTAGTCGGTCATTGTGAATCAGATCTGAATAACAAAATGACGTGCATCAGGGTCGCATAATGTCTAATGTATGTACCTAGTTTAAATGAAATCTATCCATAAACGACAGAGATCCGGTTTTGGAATGCCAAAAATGCTTGATTTTTGATGATTTTTAGCACCAAAAATGGCCACCATCCGGTCATTTTGAATCAGAACGCCAAACCGATATGTCTGTATATTTATGAGCCATAATGTATCATGAATATTTAAAATTTGAACATAATCAGTCAAAGCATGTCAGAGATATGGCACTAGAACCATATTTATTAGAACAAAATGGCCACTAGTCGGTCATTTTGAATCCTATCTGAAAAACAAAATGACCCGCATCAAGGTCCCATAATGTCTAATATATGTACCAAGATTGAAAAAAATCTATCTGTAAACAGCCGGGATATGCCTGATTTTGATGATTTGTCATCACAAAAATGGCTGCTATTCGACCCTCTCGAATCAGATTGCAAAACAAATTGATGTGTAAATGTATATTATGATGCATGTGTGAAGTTTGAATGTAATCGGTCTAGGCATGTCTAAATACAGGTCCGAATGCAAGCATGGACAAACGGATACAAGGAGGCACATAGATCAATCCATAAGTTCCCGTTTTCAGACTGTGTCTGAACGGGGACTAAAAAGTGCAGAAAAAGTTTGGCAAGGAAGTCTTGTGGTAAAAAAGTTAATGTATATTGTTATTAATGTCATAGAAATATATCTGAAAACACCAAACCTGTCAGCTTATTACTGATACCGCACAAATGTGTGTCTAAATTTTAGTTGCAGATTAAACCTTATATTCAAATTATTATAATTTATTCAAGTTCATAGACATCCAACTTTTGAACTAGTCATGACACACATTTAACCGTTATTGAACCAATAACCTTCCTTAAATAATTTTTCTGACCTTAAAAAATTTATGTAAATATTAACAATGAATAAATAAAATGGTAACCTGACAATTAGTAATCTATTTTAAGTTGCATTATAGATATTATGGTTCCACCTTGAAATACCCTGATTAATATGGAACAAATACACTTTCAGCATTTGTTCAGTTTTGGATGTATACAGGATCATTGGTCTTCTAGTGCCAGATACAAGACCTTGCTTCATCCAATCAGATTCAGAATAACCATGTTATAATGATAGAAAGATGGTCACACAGCCTTATTATGTTGTCACAAACATGGATTATGCTTTCTCTGCCAAAAAAAGCACCCTGTGTCAGCACTTGCAATTAGCAAACAAAAAAAATCAGGCCGAGCACCACAATATTCATCAAGTTCTCAATTTTAGCAAGTATCATTTATAATCTTCAAACCTGCTGAACATGTGAGTTACACAATACAGTCTGCTTGTCTATCATCAACAGGTTTATGGGATCAATTTTATAGCCACAACAAATCATATAATGAGGATGAATTTATACGTGTCAGATAGATCATTCTCTATTATATTCAAATGAGAAGTAAAATAAATTATTATAATTTATTCAAGTTCATTAATAACAAACATTTGAAGTATTCAACAACACGTATTTGACCGTTATTGAACCAATAACCTTACTTTAAATCATTTTTTTGACCTTAAAAATAAATGTTTTTCAATCACTGAATGATAACAATGAATACATGAAATGGTAGTTTGACAATGAGTTATCTATTTTTAGTTCCATTATAGATATTATGGTTCCACCTTAAAAAATATGCCATTGTCATTACCGTGATTAATATGGAACAAATACACTTTTAGGATTTAGAATTCAATGGTAAACAAAACAATTCAGAATACACTTGGCACATATTGTAGGTATTAACATGCAACACAAAACATGCAACTTTAATCCAGTCAACGCCTACTTTTGTCACCTTTTACAAAATAAAAAAAAAAACGCCTAATTTTTTTCACATTTTTTGAAAATTTTGATTAATACCTTTAGCAATTATGAAATTATGTATATTTGATTTGCAATTAAAAGAAAAAATTACAAAAATGTACATGTACTGCAAATCATTTATTTTCACTGGCATTTCATTTTTGAGTCCCATGTGCGAAGCACAAAAGGGAGTCTTTGCAGTTACCCTGTCTGTATGTATGTATGTCACTTTTTTGTTCCACCGTTATCTCAAGAACCACTAATCAAATTTTGGTGAAACTTGGTACATAGATGCTCTGGGATAATGCGCAGAGCTGATTAGGTTTTGGTAAAAATCTATGAATATTAATTACCAAATTTGCATGATAATTAGCTGATTTTTAGCTGTTCCAAGACTGTTCCAAGACTGTTCCACTGATATTTGAAGAACCACTCATTGGATTTTGATGAAACTTGGCACATGGATGCTCTGAACTAATGCGCAGATTTGATTAGTTTTGGGTAAAAATCTGTTAATATTATTAATTACCTAATTTACATAATGATTAATAAATTTTTGGCTTTTCCACTGATATCTCAAGTACTAATCATCACATTTCAATGAGACTTGCGACATAGATATTCTAGGACTATGCAGAGACCTGATTAATTTTGGGATAAATAATTGTGCCTATTAATTACCCAATTTTCATAATTAGTTAATTTTTTGCTGTTCTATGGCTGTTGCACTGATGTCTAAAAACCACTCATTGGATTTCACCGAAACTTTTCAAGAGTACCTGTCGCATTTCAATGAACCTAGGACTATACACCATATTAGTTTTTGGTAAATATTTATGCTTCTTAATCACCTAATTAACATAATTAATTAATACTGTATATCTCAAGTATTGATCATCACATTTGAATAAAACTTAGTACATAAATGGTCTAGAACAATAGACAGCCTGACTAATTTTGGGTTAAAATCTGTTCATATTAATTCTCTAATTAGCATAATAATTAATATTTTTTTGGTTCTAATCACATTTCAATGAAACTCAGTACATTATGCAGACCTTATTAGTTTTACACTTAAATCTGTTCGTTACCTTATTTGCATAATTAATTTTCTGCGTTTCCATCAACATCTCAAGTTCAAGTAATTTTGAATTAATTTTTAATGTGTCTCCAATACTCTCAGCACACGGGAGTTCTTTCTAAGCTTTCTTTGATTTTCTATTTTAGACTTAAATTATATATTTTTAATGTGTATAGACTTGAGATGTTTTTGTGAAGCGCGATATAAATATTAAGTTTGATTTTCTAGTCAAACCGCAGAGCACAAGGTTATTTTTTCTTTCTGAAAATTCCTGTCTGGTTCTATACAATGCGACGTCCTTTATTGTATTGTTTCCATTGTTGAAATTATTTACATTAGGTCTGATGCCATTACTACCTTTCAATGCATGTCTGGTTTGCCATTCATATCAATATATGGCACTTTTACGAAATGCATCACACTAGACATTCAACGAATCACTGTAAAAAATGTTATACGGCATAGTCTGTATTTTTATTCAATATATTTGTTGATTGGATTATCACATACTCATTGCAACCTGTTGGTTTGTGGGGGGGGGGGGGTTACAGGTACTTCATATAGAAATAGAACATAATATGCAGTGAATATGAAATATGTATCCTTGAATTGATATGTGAACTTTACTCAAGGTCAATTTCAGCAATATTTATGAATGTGTAACGGCATAACGGTTATTTCGGTTTTTAACTCCGCTGTCGACTTTATCGAGCGGAGCTTATCATATGAGTGATTGTCCGTCGTCGTCTGTGTCAATGTTTTACTTTTTCGACTTCTTCTTGAAAACTACAAGCCTGAATGCTTTGATACTTGGTGTATATGTACCTTGGGTAGACCTCTCTCAGATTTGTTCATTTCATGATGATATCTTTAATTCTATAATTTTGATAAATATTTTTGTAATTTTTGGTAAAAAGTGATATTTTCGACTTCTTGTTAAAAACCGCAAGTCAAATTGATTTGATATTAAATATATAGGTACTACATGTGGACCTCTCTCACATTTGTTCATTTTGTAATGATATCTTCTGTTCTTTAATTGCCATGTACATTGCTAACAGCGGAGCTATCTCAGCCAACAGGCTGCTTGTTGTAATTTTTCGTAAAAAGTGATATTTTTGAATTCTTGTTGAAAACAGCAAGTCCCATTGCTTGATACTATACATATTGTTCATTTTCTAATGATATCTTCTGTTCTTTAATTGAAATGTGCATTGCTAACAGCGGAGCTATCTCAGCCGACAGGCTGCTTGTTGTTTTTAATAGCTCCGCTGTCGACTTTGTCGAGCGGAGCTTATCATATGAGTGATTGTCCGTCGTCTGTGTCAATGTTTTACTTTTTTGACTTCTTCTTGAAAACTACAAGCCTGAATGCTTTGATACTTGGTGTATATGTGCCTTGGGTAGACCTCTCTCAGATTTGTTCATTTCATGATGATATCTTCAATTCTCTAATTTTGGTGAATATTTTTGTCATTTTTAGTAAAAAGTGATATTTTCAACTTCTTGTTAAAAACCGCAAGTCCAATTGCTTTGATATTACATATATAGGTACTACATGTGGACCTCTCTCAGATTTGTTCATTTCATGATGATATCTTCAATTTTCTAATTTTGGTGAATATTTTTGTAATTTTTGGTAAAAAGTGATATTTTCGACTTCTTGTTGAAAAACGCAGGTCCAATTGCTTTGATATATTATACATGTGGACCTCTCTCAGATTTGTTCATTTCATGATGATATCTTCTGTTATTTAATTGCCATGTGCATTGCTAACAGCGGAGCTATCTCAGCCGACAGGCTGCTTGTTATCTATATTTTCCTGTATAGTTATTTTTAACATCTTTTAAGGAAACAAGATTTCTTTATGATTTCAAACAACCCAAATAATAAGATGACAGATTTTATGTTGAATGAGCTTTTTATAGATTTAATAGGGTCATGGACTCGCTGAGGTCAGTTTTATTTTGATTTTATAGGGATTTGAATAATAATATTGTTATGGTTTGTCCATGACATGCTATAACCATGGCGAGGTAACAGCTGGTGGACTGAACAGTTTGTTATGAGATCATATACGCCAGCTGAAGCTCATGTGACCATAACATCATGTGACCATAACATCATGTGACCATAACATCATGCCATACAACAAAGAGGATTTGATATTAGCTTAATTTCAGTCAGCAGTTGTGTGAAAATTCTTAGAAATTGCTGATACTTTGTGAACAGATTGCTCAGTACTATAGTGGTCATATGTGAGGGAGACAAAACTGTTGCGATTAACAAAAAAAATTTTTATTTTATCTTAGCATGTACAGACTTGTACATGAAACTATTTGGGGGGGGGGGGGGGGTAAAACACGAACTGTTCTATTTATTCTGTTTTTTTGAAGCACAATAACAATGGCCAGAGAACTAAATTTAAAAATTGATTGACCTTGTGATATATGGTAGTTTCAATAGCTCTGAGCAAATACATGGGCAATATTCTTGTGTGAGAATGTTTGCTTTGTGCCCACCCATATTCCTAATACTGTACTGATCAATTGAAGTCGAAGGAATATTGCTGCATCAAGATCTTCACTCTTATGTTTAAATTATTTCAAACAAACACCTGAAAATTACTAGAACACAAATATTTCTGACAGAAATGATTGAACAAATGTACTTATATCATACAAAGTATAATTTTAGGGCAAGTCTGTGTTGCAAATTTTTTCTTTGATGGTACTGTAAAGAGGTTAATTACTGTAGAATACTTTATTTTCGCTTGGAATTTATTTTCGCTATTTTCGCTGAAGGGATGATTCTGTGAAAATAAAATCCAGCGAATATACTTTTTTTCCTATATATTTCACATTAAACTCATCAGAAATCAGTGAAAATAAGTTCCATACAAAACGCCCAAAAAGCCTTTTCAGCAAAAATTAATTCCAGCGAAAATAAAGTATTCCACAGTATTCACTGGGTTTTAATTTTGCCTATTTCGCTGACTGGAAATGTGCCAAATTAAAACACTGTGATTACCGTATGTAAAATTTAACATAGAACACATTAGTGATAACACCTTGAATTTAAAACCCACTGAACATGCCTGAAATGGTAAATCAGAGAAATTTAAACCCAGTAAAAATTAGTCATTTTACAGTATGTACTGTACCACTTTGGCTCTCCAGTAATAGTGGATATAAACCCAAAATTACATTTGTTGTATGCTGAATCACAAAATTACTTATTTTGAAGATAGAAACATTTCTGCAATCTACATTAAACTCATGCAGTGACAATAAAGTGGACTATGAGATTTAAACTCTGTATAATGATGTGCATTGCCTGTCATTATTAATAAAAGAGCAGCAGCCGGCCTGTTACTACAGGATGACATCATTGTTACAATAAATCATATATGGTGTTAGTTTTTTATGGATATATTGAGTTAGAAAAATAGATTGTTAAAATTAATGCTTTGTCTGTTTAAAACTATGATGCAGTCTTACCTTCTTATAAATGATAGCGTGCTATTTTTATGGGGGGGGTAAGTTAGCAAAAATTAATTTATCGAAATACATTTTATGAAAATAGTCATTTTATTTTGTGTAATCATGAGCAGGTTTAAAATTAATAAAATAACATAAAAAGTGTTGCCCTAAAACTTCTGCTAGGAAAGTTGTGGCACTGAAGGAACAAAGCTCTAAAATTTGTGGCATAGACATTGATTATATACAATACGTATTGTTTCCTATTCATGTTTTGCATCTCAGTCTGCATAGACATCTGCTGAAACTTTGCATTTTGATCAAAATCAGAAGCCAAAAGCAATTTGTCTATTTTTGTACAAAATTATTGAAAAATAAAAATTCTGCAAGAAAATTTATGGTGCTGAAAGGTTAACAAAGTGTAGACATTAAATTATACAATATGTACTCCACTCTTTGCATGGTGCTTTGCATATGAATATTTACATAAATATCTTCTGGAACCTTGTTTTAAAGGTGTCTGTATATAAAGCGGTAGGGTACTACAATCTAGCTAGGAGCTAATGGAGAAAAGTCTGTTTCTATGACAACTAAGATTGTGTGATTTCTTTGCTCTGTGGGCCATTTTGTATTGGAGCCATGTCAGCCATTTTGTATTGGAGCCATGTCGGCCATTTTGTATTGAAAATATAAAAGTATACTACCAGGTATATTAAATCCTGGAGACTTTAATTTCAGATATGTGCACACAAAGAGTCTGATTTGTAAGACTTGACTTATTTATTGAAAAGTCTTACAAAAATATTTATCCTAGACTGGCTCCAGCCATATATATTGAAAATAAATGATTACAGACTCGCAGTCACAGAATAGCTTCAGTCATAACAGTTTATTAACCGAAATACTACATCAAGCAGACAGCTTCACCTGTACTGTTTTTTAGTTTAAAGATCGAGTAAGAACAATGAAAAAAAAAATCCATTTTCACTTTAAAATGTTAGTTACACCAAACAATTCTGGTCTTGTATGCATTTCATATGCATTGTATATATTTAATATAAATGGTTCTCTAGCAGATTTAATCAATCCAAGAGTTTCAGTCACCAATTTCATAAACATCTTAGCTTATTTGTTTTGTAATATAAAAACAAACTTCCTTCACAATAGCAAGTCGATCCTTATCAAGTTATCTCGGCATTGTTCATCACAATATTGATTTTCTAATCTTTGTAGGTCACTAAACATGGAACAAGAAGAAAAAGAAAAGAACCTGGAGAAAGAAAAAGAATCAAATTTACTGGCGTCTACAACAGGTGCAGCTACAACAGCCACTGCTGCAACGCCAACTACAAATGAAAATGGTGGGTACACTTATGACGATACTGGTATGTACACAACTTTATCACAGATAAGTGTTAGTATACGGCACATTTGAGCAAATGGTCAAAACAAAATCAGTTCTATGGTGTCAATATGTGCTTGCTATCAGTTCACTTCTCTGAAAACATTTGGTTAACTCTCCCTCAACCTTTCTTGGTTGTTGGTGCAAATTTGCATCAAAGTTCAATGCATTATGGGAGATGTTCAAATTTGCACTTCAGTAATTATGAAATGTTTTTTGTTGAAATCATGAACATTGTATTTGCTCTATTAGAAGTGCATTCCTAATGGAAGCATGCATAAAACAAAAAAATGCATTTACTGTATGCTGGATTATTAAATGTGACCATAGACATGCATGTCATTTAACAAATGTCTGCTGAAAGCTGACATATAGCCCAAGATGAATGGAGAAAGAACAGCATCAACACGCGTGTTAAAGGGAAGGAATCTTTACCTTCCCAAGCCACAGACAGCCATAGGGAGTCATTGTTTACAAATGTTATCGTCACTTAGGATAGCATGTGGTAACGCCTCAGTCTTGAGCAACCACAGACCACCAATAGAGCAGTGTTTTTCAATTTCATGAATGGACGACTGTCGTCATCAGATTTTGTCAACAAATGCTATTGTTTCAATGAATGTTCTTTTTAATTACAGGTGTACACAGTATAGACACAACCCAAGCTATGTTTTTGCCCATTGGGGCTTCAGTATCACTACTTGTAATGTTTTTCTTCTTTGATTCCATGCAAATGGTATTTGCTATATGCACAGCAGGTCAGTGACACTGAAATAACTGTAAAAATTATACATTTTTTGACTGGGTTTTAATTTTGCTATTTTCGTTAATCCGCTAACTTACTGTTTTACTAGGAAAAAAAAGAAATCCGAGAAATCAGTGAATTTAAAGCCCAGTGTGTGATCAATTATCAAAATAGTAAAATTAAATATCTATGATAATGTTCGAAACCTATTTTGTATTGACCTGCATCACCCGAAAGAATCAAGTCTTGATAGGTTAAATTTTCAAAATAACTGCCTATGCCTATTTGACAACAATCAATGTTTAATTAGTAAATACCCAACACTGGTTCATGAATGTGCTACATCGGTTTAGCATACATGTATCTGTAAGAAGTATGCATGCTTAGTACACAATCAAAATCACTTACTGTGCCAATAGCCAGTCCCGTGTAGCCTCATTTTTAAAGTCTGCTGATGCAATCAAGATGTTTCAAAAATTTAAATACAAGTACGAGCAGAAAATAATAATGAAGTTGATCACATTTATTTGCAGATTCTATCTGCATATTATGCAAATATAGTAGTTTCTGATTGGCCTAATCTAGTTGATCTAAAAATAGACTAGTTGCATGCGTATGTCATCAATTAGAAATTACATCAGTGCCAGTGAGGACTCTTCGCCGAGAACACAAGTAGTTTGTTTTCCCACTGATTGTTCTATTTCACAATTTTGCTCTCTTCAAAGTCTTGAATCTACACACAGCTTACTAGTAGCTATTAAGTTGTGTCTGAACACCACTCTAAATATTCTTATATTAATAATTATTATTTTTTCTCTTTCAGTTTTAGCAACCGTAGCTTTTGCATTTTTACTATTACCAATGTGTCAATATTTACTTCGATCGTGTTCATCAGTCACCAAGTAAGTACTAATATTTCACCAAAATATATGTGGGGGGAAAAAAAAATTGTAGTATTTGCAGAGACACAAGTACATAAACTGTATACACTGTATCAAGTAATGGACTAACAATTGATATACCGTACTTCCCCGAGTATAAGCCCAGGGGCCTGAACATGTAAAATCGGGAAAAAATAAGGGGTGGGCTTATACTAGAGGACCACCTCGGAAATGATTTTTATGCAATGAAATACATTTTTTACATGCATATTTCAATAAATGTTGTCAACGCCCCGTAAAAACACCCTGGGCCTATACTAGGGGATGCCCTCAACTCGTTCAATGTCCAAAAACAGAGGGGTGGGCTTATACTCGGGGAGGAGCTTATACTCAGAGGGGAGCTTATACTCAGAGGGGAGGAGCTTATACTCGGGGAGGAGCTTATACTCAGGGGAAGTACAGTATATTGTAGGGAATTATACTGCGAATTCTGAAGTCTTCATGAAATTCAAATTTGTCATGTTGGTATATTGTATCAACAAGAGACATCTAAATACATATAGACACTACATTTGCTTCTCATTGTTTCTATAATGTTTTTGTATATTCTTCCAATTTTTAGAATCTCGTTTGGTTGTTGTGGTAGATTTACTCCAGCCGAATTGATGTCCTTTGGTTTATCTGTTGGTTTAGTTCTTGTGTGGATCATGACTGGTCATTGGCTACTCATGGATGGTAAGTAAATTCATTTAACTTAATGATTTGATGATTATGACAGTTTATTGCCTTGTACCTCATGTGTATGCTATTTTGGCTTTAAAGTGGGAAGTGGTCACCTTTGCATGCGGCAAACATTCATAGTGCTGTTTACAAACCAGCATCTACCAATGAACTATACATTGTTATCATTGATTAGGACTTGATACCTGCGTGTGCACATGCGACACCCATCATTAAGACAATCAAGAATTTTGAAAAAATTTAAATAAGAATTGTAAGATGCGATTTCTGGAAATACTAATGCAACATGGCTATGTGAAAGAACTGATTATTGTTAATGTTCAACAGTTTTAGCTAGTGTTCTTAATTATTTACAAGGCATGTTTTACATGTGGTTGGCATTTTTGAATATGGTAATGATCCCAGTCATTTCTGTTGACAAAGTTGAACTCGTTTAACCATACATCGATATCGAAGTTGCGAGCAACAGCAACTTAATTTTCAGTCTAGTCCATAGCCTTAAATTTGTGTACAAATTGTCCATTATTGGCTTGCCTCCTATATCATTAACATGGCTTCACCACTTTTATATATACTTTTACACTGCAAATGTATCCAGAACAACCCCCCCCCCCCAAAAAAAAAAATCCTCATTGGGAATAGCTAGAGTAGAACTTGAATGTACATGTAAATAAACTGAGCATGTACATGTAATATAATTTGCTGAGTATATGAATTTTTTTTTCTTGTTTTACAGCTCTAGCCATGGGTCTGTGCGTGACAATGATAGCTTTTGTACGTCTACCAAGTTTGAAAGTTTCTACTCTGCTATTGGCTGGTTTATTGATCTATGATGTTTTCTGGGTCTTCTTTTCCACTTATATATTTAATGCTAATGTGATGGTTAAGGTAGCAACAAGACCAGCTGATAATCCAGTATGTATTATGGTGTACCTAAGGGGGGCTGAAGTGTAATGTTATTTGTAGACTGTTGATCATTCAGAATGTATTACTGTGAACTTAGGGGGCCCTTTGCATCTTTAACCTCTCCTCTACGAATATATCTCTGCCTCCATGCAATCTTGTGCTCTTCGATGAATGGTCAATGCATCACTGTGATCCACAAAAAGATTGCCATGCTAGTGTCTGATGTTTGTAAATTCTGCCTTTTAAAGGGCGAAGCCACAAAATGGCTGAGTGTGGTAGCAGAGATGGATACCCTGGGAATTCTTGCTGAAAATTCCGAATATATACTTAGGGAGCTATTTATTATCAATTTGATAGACAATTTTCTGCATCTTGTGAAATCTTGGGTGATTCAGCAAATTAGTACATGACAGGTCATATTGCTAGTTCCAGGAAAGTACAAATGTTGAAGAACATATCAGCTGTTTGGCAATTTACAATGCATATTAAACAATGTGCCACGATAACAAAGTAATGTTTTTATTAAAAAAGCTTTCCAAAACACCAATCTCAAATTGTGTATTCAGTGTGGAAATCATAAATTAATATTTTCGGCTGTAATTTGAAAACCATAGTCTTCAGAAAAACAATAAGAAAGAATTGTGACAATGGATTCATCAAGGGTCTTCATGGACATAAAACTAACATGTTTGATTTTCTTGTTTTTAATCAGTGCTTCTTCTTTCTTTAATAGGTTGGGATGGTTGCTAGGAAACTCAACTTCCCCGGTGTAGCTAGGGATGCACCACAACTCTCATTACCAGGAAAATTAGTTTTTCCCAGGTATGTTTCCATAGTAACATTTCTCTTTTATTAAAAATTATAGGTTTTTAGTGTAATTTGTACGACTTCTGAATAGCCATTTGTGCATGAGGTTTGCGTTTTCCTCTTCCTGGTGAGGTAGTCACGGTGGGATATCATTTAATTCTTTGATTTCCCATTGTCACCATTTGGCAACATCTACACAATGATTTTGTATTATTATACTCTGCACCTCCCCACATGAAATGTTGATTAAAATTGACGAACCTTTTGATCAAAAATAAAAAGCAATATCTAAAATGGTCCAACATGTGATGAAATTTACTGAAAATATTTAGAATTTTGAGGGAGGGGAAAATATCTGGCACTCGAAGGGTTAATGTCATTAGTGCAGTGTGTCAAATGTGTAACTGAATCAGCCACAATGAAGGAGCTCATTTGTGATAGGCATTGTCAGCTTTCTACGGTGACATTCGATCATTGGTGTGCTTGATGAAATTGCACATTTCAAATATGCGATGTAGACCTGTTAATTGGTGGATGTGAATTCTATTTTTAGTAAGCATTTCATATAAGCATTTTAAATACTGTTGCATAATTTGTCAGGCTTGATCAGAGCTCAATGCTTTTAATCAAGATTCATAGTGCATGTATTAAATTTGAAATGAATTATGCTTGAATGTATGTAAACAATACATCTGTCATCAATTGCATCCTCTAGTGACACAGTGCCTATGATGTCAAAAAGATAGTTGTTGAAGGCAATAACATTCAAGCTCGACAATTTCTGCTTTGTGACAATTTCTCAAGTGCAAACAATTAACAATCCTAATAGGCTGAAGTGCCAACAATCTGATAGAATTTTTTTTTTTTTTTTTTGATGTACCAGTATAGTACATCTTGAATTAGCGAAGTCACACTTTAGCTAAATTCAGAAATATGATGATTACCCTATTTGCTTTATTAAAAGTGCAACTTCCATTAAATTATACATGAACTTTAAATTGTATTTAATGTTACATGTATAAAATAAAACTTTTTTTTATGACCACTATTTTTATGTACTTTTTTTCAATATTTGTGGAAATGAACTGTAATTTTGGAGCCAACAAGCAAAATTTAAGTCAGTTATCAGTTTTTACTAAAAATTTGACTATTTTTGTCCAAATCTTCTGAAGAAAAGTGCAGACTATAAACATGACTATTTTGTGAAATTGTGATGAAAAGAGAGAACTGGTGATGAAAAAGTTAGGCGCATGCACAACTGAAAGAGCAAATGTGTAAACACTTATTTGGTTGTAATTATGTATGTAATTATTCTGCAGTACTTGTAACAAACTAAACTAAACTAAACTAAACTAAACTAAACTACAGTAAACTTTAACTTTTCACCACCAGACTTTCCCACCCAAATTTTTCTACACTTTTTTTCTTATTTTTTTCAATATTTCTGGAAATGAACCCTAATTTTTGAGCCAACTGACAAAATTTGAGTCAATTTTCAGTTTTAACTCAAAAGATTTGGTTATTTTTGTCCCAATCTTTCGAAAGAAAGTGCAGACTATAAACGGGGACTATTTTGTGAATTTGTGATGAAAAGCTGGAACTGGTGGTGAAAAGGTTAATGCTTCTATCAACCCTGTAGACTAAATCTTGTATTCTATTTTTCAGCATGCATGAATCAGGACATTTTTCCATGCTAGGACTTGGTGATATCGTGATGCCGGGTTTACTTCTATGTTTTGTTATGCGATATGATAATTATAAAAGGCAAGCTAGCAACAATGAGAACAACGCTTACCCTGTCCAGAACGTGACTAGTTTGTCTCAAAGATTGACCTACTTTCATTGTTCACTCATTGGTTATTTCCTCGGTAAGTAAATCTCTAATCAACTTTCGTCTCTCTGGAATGAAATGGAATGTCTGTCTTTAAAGTTTTAGAAGTCAACAACAAAATCAGGAATCTGAAGTAAAACTATCCTGTGTATTTTATGTTAAATATTCATGCTATCGGGTTCAAGACTTTTTGGGAATTGATATTACACATGTATCGATTTTTGACAACTTTTTGTAAATGTTACAGAAAGCAATCCCAGAAAAATAAAATCCCCAAGGCCCAAATTGTTTTTGTCACTAAATAAGTGTTTTTCCTGGCCTAATATAGGTTGGAGAGATCAAAAAAATAAGTAGATTGACAACAATTAATAATACAACTTCAGTTGATTGATTTAACAACTTAAAAGCTGGGAAACACACAAAATGCTTAGACTTGTTTTAATCAGATTGGGTAAATCTACTTACAAATTTGGATAAAAAATATTGAATATCAGTAGGAAAAAAAACATGACAAAATTTGTAAAGAAAAGGAATGTTTGATAATAAATTTGTTGAAGTTAACTTTCAGTTATCATATTTACAGGTTTATTAACAGCTACAATATCATCAGAAGTGTACAAAGCTGCCCAACCTGCACTGCTGTATTTAGTACCATTTACACTGCTGCCGCTTTTAGTGATGGCATATCTCAAGGTAAGAGCCTGATTCCAAGCTTGGTGTGTGATGTGTTGACTCGGAAACACAAAAAAAAAAATCTGACGCCAAGGGCACTACTTTTTACATATCAATACGATCAAGTGATCAGGTTGCTTTTAACACATTTACAAAAGTTTGTACTCTGACACTTGAAATAAAGTAGTTTGAATAAAAATTACGTACTTAAATACCGAAATTGTTGGATTCATTGAAGGTATTGTGATTAAATTAATATTTCATAATTTTATTGTTTCAGGGTGACCTACGAAGAATGTGGCATGAACCATTCATCAAGGCACCTGTTCCAAAATACATGGATGTATGACAGATCAAGTTGCACAACGTGTGATATCCGGCCCTACCAATTCAAATGTATCCAGTACTAAGGAGAAATACACATCGCATTTTGATCCACATCAATTCCGGATTCATGTGCACAAAAAGTGGTCTCTGAACACTTACGAGTGTCGGCAACAATTGTGCCCACAACGAACAAATTACAAGTTTGTGGTTTGGTACTTGTTAGCTGATCAGATAGGGAACGTGTTGAGCATTTGAAGAGCACTATATCTTATCCCCCACCGGAGACCAATGAGTCATCGCTGCTGTCATCGTTTTTGTCGTGCAACATTTCTTTTTTGGATCATGAACTGCTTGTGTATACATTAACACATTTTTATATTAGAACAAAAAAATCATGGGAAAGAAGAAAAAAAAAATAGTTTGTGGACTTGGGAAGCTGGTATACATTAAAAAAAAAGACAAGATGTACATAATGAGATGGTGCTAAACAAGAAATGTACACTTGGAAACTGAGTTTGTAATCTTTGCATATCTCCGCCATCACAAAGCTTTGCACTCAAATATTTTGTGTACATTTAAAAGTAGACTCTACCTTTGATATGGTCATATTAAGATTCTTGCACAAAATATAGAGCAATACCACCATGGATTGTGAGGATTATTACTCAGATTTGAAAGTCAAGTAATTATAATTAATTCTGATTTGTATTGTCATTTAGTACTACACTGGGTGATCTATGTTGAGAGATCACTGAAATTTTTTTGGCCGGCCGCTTTACAACTTTAATTGTCATTGTCGTCATTTTTTTTTTTAATTTTATTGTTGACTTTCGAGTGTAGTGTTCAAAATTTCAGTGGTTTGCCAATGGTTAATAGGTTACAGCTGAAAAAAATTGCCTGCACTGGTGTGTAACTTGTAACTGTTCACTTTTTTTAAAAAACACCCTGACTGGTTGGAGGCTGGCTAATTTTAAAATAGCACCATGTCAAACCATTCGCCAATTGTATATTGCTGAATGTACATTTCACTCTGTATGTTGTCAGGACACAAAATTGTCATTATATATAATCAAGCTTCAAATTATACACACAAAAAAAAGATTTTTTGTAAACTATTTTATCAAGATAGGTCATCAGTATATAATTTTCTGACGCCCATTCCCAAAATGCTAGTCATCATGTCTTTAAGTTGAACCCTCCTGCACTGTTATAATTGTTACAAGAAAATAATGTGCAATACTAGGTTTTGTCTCCCACTGTGCCGTAGCGAGGCAGCTTTGTTTACTAGTGAAGTAATTCCTCTGCTTACTTGCATTTTAATGAATCATCCTATCTTTTTTAATATTTAGTCTTTGGCTTAATAATTCTGTGAAAAATTATTTGTATTGTTGTAGATAAGCTTGAGATTATTGGTGGTGGGTATGTACGTCCCTCGTAGAATTGGTATTTGTGCATTCTTTGTGTGCTGAATCACGAGAGCTCCACTGCTTTATATGTAACGGGGAGCAAAAGAACAATGGCCGTGTACAGTAGTTGTGAAATGTTTACATTGACATTTGTTTATATATACACGCATTTCCTTCAATCATGCTGAATAATATGGTGGTTCTCGGCATGATCTACTTGAGAGATTGGGAAAAAAAGTGTTTAGGAATTAAATGCTTGCATTTCAGCTAACATGCACTGTATATGCACTTTGATTACAAGAATTATATGTGGTTTTTGGAATGCAAGAAAATTGATAATTCACGAGTTGAATTTTTCCTCCGTTTTCCATGATCTGATTTGTGTATATAGGTACATTCCGAGCCTTTCAGTTTGACAGGCGGCATTGCAGAGGCTGATGTCCTTGTTCTGCTTACCACTGAAAACGTGGAAGTAATACATGTATGCCGATTTGATTGGTAGGCATTATTGCTCTGCACAGTAATCACGAGTGGCCAACATGCTGTCTCGAAGTGAGTTGATCCAGACATTAATGGGACTCTAAAAGTTCCTTTCTGGTACTTTGCATGATCTCAAAGTATAGTAGTGAAGCTAGTTGTCATGGTTACTGCTTGAGTAGGATTTGTGCGCTACTATCATGTTTATGAATTCCTTTGAGATCAGATACCCTGTATGAATGAACTCCACATGACCTTGTTGATGTGTTTGAAAACGTGTAAATCATGATGTAGTAATTACTTTGGAATAATTTATGTAGTTATGTTCTTGTTTTTTTCTAGAAAGAGGATTACAAACCTAAATTTTTAACTTAATTGACAGAAATGCATTGTAAAAAAGTACTTTTATTCATATTCTTGCTATATTCAGTTTTTATTTTGTGGAAATTAGAGATTGTCTTTTCAGATCTGTACATGTATCTAAATAAAAGTAACATTTTTGAGAAGTATTGACGTTTTTAATTTTGTTCATTATAGTCTAGGTATTTTTAGTTTATTTGAGATAGTCTCCCCTCGTGCAACTAGTACTTAAAATTTAGCTTCATAAATGTTAAGATTGTAGAAATGTAAACTTCGTTAATCAACAGTGTCCCCTAAGTGATCAAATTGTTTTCTCTCAGAAATGTATTATCGGAACTCGCATGACCGGTGCTTGTCCTATATACATAATCACTGACACTCTTCCTGGGAGAGTTACCTGCAAAGTCGTGAAGATGCGGTCGTCTGAAACGTCAGAAAAAATACCTTGGTAGCTGACAATTTGAGAGTTTGGTAAAGTCGTTAATGTTGCACTGGATGGCAGGAAATTTTGAAAAGTACAAAAATCAATTTGGGAAGATCTTAATTTTGCAGTGGTAGACTGGAAGAGTTTGCAAAGTTTTTTAAGAAACTTTGCTAGTTTTAATAGTAAGGAGGAGCTTTGGAAGAAGGGTGTTTGAGGAGTTGGGAAAATTGTTTGCAAAATTTGCATTAAAAGACACAAAAGCAGTGTATTACAGCTGTTCTGAGAATTATTCGGACAGTCAGTTAGCAAAATGACTTGCATCTTTGCAAAACACTTCGGTCTTTGCCAAATCTTGACTTGTCGGCGCCACTTGGTTGGCCGGCGCGTGGTTTGGGATTACTATTTTATAAGGGTTGTCGGCATGGTGAATTGCAAGTATTATCTAGCGTGCGTATACAGCAAACATTCTTTATTTTTTATATTTATATTGTAATTAATTTCAGTAATTTTAAAATTCACAAGTTGGGTGTTGCTTAAATTTGTTGAAAACTGTCAACCCTTCGTTCATTTTAGTCAGTTGTACCTGTTATGAAAATGAACTATAGACATAATAACGGTCGTCATACCCCGTCATTTTCAAACTGCAGTTGAAAAAGTGATTCACTCGAGCTCAAGGAAGGCACTTTATATAACCTGTTAATGTATGGTAACCAACGCATTTTGAAAACAGCGTTTTACCTGTATCTAGCAAGATAATGGAATGATCCCAATTGTGGGCGTGCCAATAAAAACGGCGCCATCAAGTCTATATTGGAAAAGACCCAAGTGTTTTGCAAAGTTCCAAGATATATTGCTAACTGACTGTCCGAATAACTCTCAGAACGGCTGTAAATTTCGCACAGCAGTGAGTTTTAAAACAAAAGTTGAAAAGTTTACGTCGGAAATCGTTGCATTGGAAGAGTTTACAAAGTCATTTAAGATGACAATGCGTAAAGTCATTGTGGTCATTATTTCAATGAAAATAAATAAATGAAGTGATACTGATATATTATTACGGGAAATTAGTAGTACTTAGTAATTTTTGAGTCCCAATATAAAAGGTCAATGTTCTGGGTGTAACGCAGCAACGATATCCGCTTTTTCAAATCCCTGTTGAATCAGTTTTTATCATTGCGAACAGAATCAAATTTCAGTTTTTCTTTGTTTTTATCGAGATGATAACTGCATTTGTTTTTGCGCGCGGCAGACACGTATTGTGAAAACAGGAGATCAACAATGACAAGAGAGATTCGCTAAATCAACATTTCGCTATTACGTCATTTTACCACAATTCGCTAAAATTGGGTGTCGCTTTTTCAACATGTTTTATAGTAATGAACCCAAGAGCAACTGTTGAATCGGGGAATTCAACATGCAAGTAAAATTACAGACAGCGCCATAGTAAGTTCCGGCGTGAAAGTAGCAACATTGCCAGCTAAGTTGTTTGCTCTCTGCGTCTCGATCGTCATGAAACCAATCTAAACACGAGACTTCAAAACTAGTACTAAGGTATCCGTATAATATCAATAGAAGATGCAATTTCTTTTCAATTTATTCTATCTAATTTCCAAAATTACTGTATGACAAATTGCACAATGATCCAATTAAATTGAAAAAACTGTATATAATAATCTAGTATGTCCAGGGCACGGTCGCTCGTGTGCGTCAAGTGTGTGCATTTATTCGAATGGTACAACCTCGTAAAATATAACTAATTCTCATCACGTACAGATCTTAACACAAACATTAAATCAGTCAATAACGTACATGTGTACCACAATGTAAAAGTATTGAAATGTTGGGTTGCAAATAGCGCCACCAGGGGTGACCTTTTTTTTCTACATACTAATTGCACTGGGTAAAGTATTCTGATTACTACGCAAATAGATAATACTCCTATTGTCCGCTCACAAGGTTCAGAAATCTCACAAACACAAATCTGATCGAAGATGAAGAACACTTCGTGAAGCCTTGCTCTGTGTATACCCAACACAGAAACATGTATACAAATTCAGATTTACCCGAGGAATCTCTGTCAATTCCTTTAGGCCAATATTTGCGAATCTGTTTTGAATCCAGACAGCAACAGCTCCTAGACATGGATGTCACCTAATGACTTTCAAAATTCTTGGATTTTCTGCCATATTCACATTTGATTGTTGCTTTTTTTGTGTATGTTTATTTGCTCTGTCGTGTCACTTTCCATGTTTTATTATTATTATTGTTGTTGTTGTTTTGTGTATTGTATCCATTATCATTCATTCCAATGGATGTTATTAATAAATAAATAAATAAAAATATAGAGGCAATTGTTGAACATTGAACTGAAATTCAAATTTCAAGATGAATAGTCCCGAAAACCAAGGCAGTGGACAGCCGGGGCCAAGGTATTCCAATTACTAGTATTGTAAACTGCTGTGAATAGCGCCATCAGCGGCAGACTCAATTCTTTATATCCATATTTCGGTAGAGTCTGCTTTTCTGGAGTCAAAAGCTCAATTGGGAGAGTGGCTGATTACTAGTATTCAGATTGCGGTAAATAATTAAATGAAATGTTATTTGGGGGGCAATGTCATTGATAAACAAAAATGGCTCTTACAACATAATTGTATTGTCATAGAGGACGCATGTCAACAGACCGGGAGAATGTTTGTCAGTCCTTATATTACGGGAAATATTTATTTTAAATGTGTAATCCTCACCTATTCAAAGTGTGAGATAAGGTAATATGGATAGTATTTGATTGAACATTTTTTAACTAAAAAAATAATTATGGTCAAGTTGCAATTTGGCTGCGAACTTAGCACTTTCAAGGAAATAATATAAAGCTTTGTAATTACGTTTATGAAATTATCATATAAATAAAGTCATCTAATATTGTTCTTCTCAAGATTCAATACATTAAACAGGCTCACAAAACTTCCAAATGTCGTGTATAATAGCCGTTTGCTTGGAGTCTCTTCATCATTTATTGTGCTTATTGATTCTTCTGTTAAACTAAATTGTCGGTTTCGGTTTATTCTTTGACTTCTAGCCAAATAATAGCGACAGTACATTATAACTAATTTAAAATATCGATGTCAGGCCCTTAATTATTTCGCAAACATCGGTAGTATTTATAATTACTACTGTTTTCGGAGAAAAGACCAGTAGGTCTGTATATTTAGTTAGAACAATGTATTTTCATTTTATTTTTGTAACCGTGACACTGTTGAATCTCTGTGCTTTTGACTTCTGAGCTTCTGAAAAGTCAACACTACCTTCAGATTTCATCAAAAGTAAATAATGTTGGGGATTGCTATACGAGAAAGCATATAACATAATAATAACTTCAGTAATGTACGTCATTTTAGTATCTCTTCATCATTTATTGTGATCATTGGTTCTTATGGTAAATTCAATTTTCGGTTTCCGATTGTTCTTTGACTTCTAGCCAAATAATAGCGACAGTACATCATAACTAATTTAAAATATCGATGTCAGGCCCTTAATTATTTCGCAAACATCTGTAGTATTTTTATTACTACTGTTTTCTCGGAAAAGACCAGTAGGTCTGCCGACACTCAACCGCATGCAATATCACCCCGGGTAATATCACGTGGCAATAGTGCGACACCATGCTTGAAATATATGACAAGAAATCAAACTTTTGAACCTAGTAAAAATACAATGTACAAACAATAACGTCATTGTAGTATCTGTTTGGCATTGATTGAGCTCTTAGTTCATACGGTGCAGTATTTGTTAACTAAACTTTCAGTTTCAGATCGTTCGCTGACTCATAGCCAAATAATAGCGACTGTACACCATAGCTAATTTAAAATAGCGATTTCATGCACTTATGATTTTGCAAAACACCTGTGGTATTTTTATGACTACTGTTTTCGTGGGAAACTTTCAGTTTCAGGTCGTTCGTTGACTTATAGCCAAACAATAGCAATAGTCCCCGAAGCCTAATTCAGGGGCGGATCCAGCAAAATGTATTGGGGGGGGGGGGGTCCTAGCTTCGCTTAACATATACGGAGCGTAAATCGCAGAGAAGCTATGCGTAATCCAGATAATATGAATCGTCATGCGTTTGGGAGGGGCCATGGCCCCCCCTGGCCTCCCCTCTGGATCCGCCACTGGCCTAATTTAAAATGCCGACCTCAGGCCCTTATGACTCCGCAAACATCGGTGCCTGATTATTACTGTTTTCACGAAAAATGCCAGTAGGACTGTCGACACTCAACCATATGTAATATCACCCCGGGTAATATCACGTGACAATAGTGCGACACCATGCTTGAATTATACCACAATAAATCAAACATTTGAACAAATGAAAGTATAGACAATAACAGTAGAAAGCATATGAATTGACTAATTATCATAACAACATGTAATTTCATTACGTGACATGACAAAGGCGGCGGCACGAAATACTGCATGGGGGGGGGGGTATCTGCCCACCTACCTTGCGCCGAAAGCGCTACCTTACTAGGGGGTCCGGGCATGCTTCCCCTTACAAATTTGGAAATCTAGACCACCTGAAACGCTATTTCCTGCATTTTGAAGGGTAAATTTTGATGACACAGAGGGTTTCAGCTTGATTTTGGAAGGGCGACGCCCTCCAACAGTTTTTGGTAAGGGAACATGAAGGGAACATGACGGTAAAAAAAAAATATATAGGAAAACAAAGAAAAA